TTTCTTACTGAATCCAAAGTCCTTACTGAACTTTGAAGTTCAAAATATTTGCATCCAGTATGACTTCAGACATAATCACCAAAAGTACAGCAGAGAGAAAGGAAGCAACATAACTAAGAAAAGAGGAGTAATTACAGCTTAGAATATCTATAGTTCGGGGCTGAAGAGATGGTTCTCAGTGGTTAAGAGCACTCACTACTCTTTTAGAGGACAAATGTTCAGGTCCCAGCAGCTACATGGTGGCTCACAATCATCTGTAACTCCAGCGCCATTGGATCTGACTTCCACAGGGACCAGACATGCACATGGAGTATGTATACATGCAAGCAAAACACTTATACACGTTAAAAACAAATCTAAATTTTTTGAAAAAGAAAAAAAAAAATTTGATTACATATGTCCTTAAAAGCTTATTAAAATATTAGTATCCGAATACATACAAAAGCACACACAGTACCAAGTTTCTTATAAGAGAAACATTGGAATCATAAAACAGAAGAAAATTAAAGCAACAGAGATGAAAAAGCCATTCAGAAACTAACCAGAAGAAGGTGTACTGAGCCACATTAATAGCAGATAAGGCAGTTATTAAGGGAAATGAAGAATACTACCAAAATAACAAGTATCCCTTTGGTAAGACAATATTCTCTGACCTTGAAGATATGAGTTTTTGAAATCTGTATGTACACAAAGACTATAGCATCATGAGCTCAAAGCAGAACCCACTACTACAATACGAAGCAGAAATCTAGAAAATGGGCACTGAGCACAGGTAAACCAGCAGTTATTACAAAAGAGACCTAGATTATCGGAAGACTCAGAAGTGGGGTGCCTGTAATAGTCCAAAGAAACATACGGCTGCAGGCCTATTCACAAACCCAGTAGGAAGGTTTTCTGAGTTTAATTAAAAACAATATAAAAGAAGTGTACGTACTCTCCACGTTATCATCCCGAAGAAGGCCAGATTTCTTGTTCTGAGACACGTTTCTGGTTATAATAAGAGGTTTCTTCTCAGGCAATAGATTGTCCACTGATAAATCTTTTTTCTGGTATTCGGAAGGAATTCCTAAGGAGAAGGAAAACGTGTGTGTCAGGGAATTGCTGAACACTCAAACTTCCCACCCACGGGGAGATGAGGAATGCTGAGCACAGGTTTCATGAGCATGTGACAGCCTTTCTTAGCAACTCCTGCTTCGGACAATAGCTCCCAGAAGCCACTGGTCATTGTTTTCTGTTTGCTCTTCCCATTTTGCCTGTTTTATTCATTTTGACTGCCATCTCTTGTGCTGTGGAAACCACACTCAGGGCAGAGAACAAGCTGTCCAGGAAACATGCTCACACAGAACCCAGGACACAGAGACATGGGCCTGCTGTGGGGATTGCTGTCAAATTGCTTATGTTATTCTACTCACTACTGAGTCTCGCATCTTCAGAAGTTGTTCCTCTCTCTAATTGTGCCTGGGATTCTGACGAGAACTCTGAATACAAATGCCCATAGCTTTCGTCTGGCGCTGCAAAATGAACTACATAAAGAGAGGTACTTAGTCTTCAATATAAAGGGAAATCCATGAAATATCAGGGTTCAAATTTCTAATGAGATGGCACGTGTACAATAGTAATCCCTCTTATTTTCATAAAATTCTAAGTTACCAGGTTGTGTCTGGCATGACTCTGAGGAGAGTTTTTATCAATGGATATTACTGAAATTGCCAAACTACTTCATAAATATTCTGTGGTACCAACTGTGACATATTCTCTCTCCTAATTTCATCGATTACTCATGCCTTAGGTTTCTATTTATCCCTAGACAAACTAAAGAAAATGAACATCCACAAGACTACTCACCACCACAGCATTATTTGAAACTGTAAAATGTTCAGAATCATATAACTCAAGCATAGGAGAATGTCTGAATAAACCAGCTAGTAACTGGTCTAGTCTAGAAACTGCTTCACGTGAGGTGGTACAAGGGGCTGAGTGTAGTTACGAAGGAACAGCAAAAAGCATTTATATAATGGACTTGGGAAGATGTATTAAAAGAATGTTAAGTCAAAAACAAAAACAAAAACAAAAACAAAAAAAACCAAAAACACCAAAACAACAACAGCAACAGCAAAAACCAAAACCAAAATTCTGGCTCAGAGTTTATGGGAATGGCCAACCAATACTGGTCTAACATGAGGCCCAAGCCACAAGAGGAAGTCCGTGTCCAACACTGCCTGGATGGCTAGGAACCAGAAGCTGGATGGCCTAGAGACCTGGGGTAGAACTAAATATGACTGGCAAAAAAAAAAAAAAAAAAAAAAAAAAAAAAAAAAGTCAATGAAGTGATTCCTAATGATTTTTGCTATACTCATAGAAGGGTGCCTAGCCCAATAGTCATTAGGGAGGCTTTCTGCAGCAGGTGGTAGAAACAGATGCAGAGACCCACAGCCAAATATTAGGCAGAGCTCAGGCAACTCTACAGGAGATGGGGAGAAAGGATTGTAGGAGCAAGAGGAGTAGAGGACACCATGAGAACAAGGCCCATAGAATCAACTAAGCAGGGCTCATAGGAGTTCACAGAGACTGAAGGGCAATCATGGAGCCTGTATGTTTTTCTAGGTCCTGTACATATATATTGTGCATATATATTGTTTAGCTTGAGGGTTTTGTGGAACTCCTGACAGTGGGAGTGGGGTGTGTATCTGACTCTATACCTGCTCTTGGGACCCTTTTCCTCCTATTGGGCTGCCTTGTCCAACCTCCATATAAAGGTTTGTACCTGGTCTTATTGCTTCTTGCTATGTGCCCTGTGTGGTTGATATTCCTGGCAGGACTGCTCTTTTCTGAGGGGAGGTGGAAGAGCAGTTGATCTAGGGGTGAGGGGAGGTGGTTGGGAGGGACTAGGAGGAGCCGAGGGAGAAGAGGCTGTGGTCAAGATGTATTGCATGAGAGAAGAATAAATAAAAGGTGGTGGTGGGGGAACCTGAAACTATGGTATCTAGTGTGATAACCTTTGGGCCGGAAGCCAAGCAGAGAACACTGGAGTGGGTACCCGAAAGAGCGATGGGGACATACGGACTGTGGAAGGAAGGACAGTTCTCTTAGGGTACCTGGGTGACTGGGCACACTTCATTCAAAAAATAAAACTGCATCAATGAGAACTATGGGGCACTAAACTGCAAATAAACTACGGAAGTGAAGCAAAACCCCTCACAAGTAACTAGGGAGTGAGTGCAGCCTGGACACCTGGGGATAGCCTGGTGTCTTGGTTCCTTTTCTTGTTGCTGTGATGAGATTCTCTGTCAAAGGCAGCTTAAGGAATGAAAGTTTATCCCGGCTCACAGTTCACGGGTATAGTTCCTTTTGGTGGGGAAGTCAAGGCAGCAGATGTTTGAGACAGCTGGCCATGCTACACCTGACCTTGAGAAGCAGAGTGAGGAACACATGCCAGCGTCCTGCTTGCTTTCTCCATTTTATACCGTCCAGGATCTCCTGCCAGGGAATGGCCCCAACCACAGGCAAGGTGGGATTTCCCACCTCAATTAACATAATCAAGATAATTTCCTACAGGCACTCGCAGGGGCCAGGCTCCCAGCTGATTCTTGATTCTGTCAAATTGACAATTAACATGAGCCATCACAGTTGGGTTGTGTGTTTTTTTTTTCTGCCAAAGGATTCTCCAAGATCTGAAACACTATAGAATAAAGTGTGTGTATAAATCCGTCAATATTTCGAAAATTAGCGTTAAAACTGTAGGACATACATGCTAAGTGGAGAATGGGGAGCACAAGCCCCAGAGACTGACACTGAAGGCATCTAAGAGAGCTCATGAGTTCTAAAATGTGTGCGTTCATGTACACACAGGGGTAGTGTGTGCACAGTGTATGTCTGTGGCTGTATGTACATGCTTACTCACATCTATATACATAAAGAGAACAGCTTCATCTTAAAATCTTATATGTGTTTCTTTTAGGCCCAACTCTAGACAAGTACAAAGGTTTTCTAACAATTATCGAGTCAACTTAAATGCCAGACCTGACACCAGCTAGTACAGCATGGTCGTTGGAGGGATTCAGATGTGGGCTTAGGTCTGTCCAAGAAAACGCTCTGATGGTACACAAACTCTCCACGAGGCTCCCCGGAGGGAATCTGCATGTGACGTGGAACACTTTTTTATTTTTAATTTTTAACCAGGTATCTATCTCATCTTTCAAAATAAACAAGGGCAGGGGTTGGGTTTGACCCTGTTTTCATCCTGGAGAACGATGCTTTCTTCCAGGAGAAGAATGAGTGGCGTGTGCTTCTTGGGCCTCTTGGTGTAGTTGACCCTATCTAATTCAAAGGTTAGAGGTGGAATTGTGCTCCTTTCAAAAAGATGCAAGGAAAACCCCAACCATTGGGTGTATGTAATCGCAGAAAGAGAAGGGAAGTGGTACCAGGGATGCGTCTGTCATCCTAGACAGAAATATATACTGGCATGGATGACAGGAATATGAATGTGGAAAGTGCTTCTGACAGTCTGATGGAAATGGAAGACACATTGGGGAGGAACAGTGATTCTTATAAAATGGTGGGCAGTGGGATTCTGTTGGGAAGAAAGCAGAACTTGTGAGCACAGGACACTGATATATAGCCATATATATATATGTATATATATATGTGTATATATATGTCAATTTCAGGCATAGCCTGGTTTTCTTCTTGAGAAAGCAATTGGTAAAGAAAGTAAAAAAGGAGTTGTTAGGTAAAAAGGAAACAAAAACGTTCACATTTCCCAGCTTATTAAAGATAAAAAGAATGAAAAACATGCACGCTCTGGAAGAACACCAAAGTCATATCCAGCTAACTGCTTAAGAGCTGACGTGAAGAAGAGACCCACAGAACTACTTGAGCCAAGGAAACCAAGATGGGTGGAACACACATGCTTACCTGCTTCTGAGACCCAATCGGTCTAAGAGGGTTAATAACAACTATTTTGCTGTGAAAACATATCCTTCAATAAACAGGAAGAATGGCCCTAAGTGTGGTTCAGACGCCAGTGTGGCTTTTCCAGTCACCCTGGCCAGTGGGCTGGGCTACTGCCTGTTTCTTTTCAAGGTCATTACACAGAGCCAAGGGCAGAGCCATGGGGGGGAAAGGCATCAAGCCAGTTAAATTATTCTCAAAACTTAAAATCCAGCTCACTTGGCCCTGCTAGGCTCTGGGTTTTCTTGGCTTGTCCCAAATGTTGCTGCCCTTCTGGAACAGGAGTGTTTGCAGTATGACTGCCAGGCCATTGTATGTATTGTGTGAAGTGAGTAACTTGAAATCTGGCTCCCCAAGTCCACAGAGGGAGGGAAGTTTTCCCTGCAGTGAGTGGCGCTCCAACCTCACTGGAGTTAGTTACCAGGGCGATTTAGGTGATGAGAAAGAATCAGAGGCTGATGATGTTTAAGTGAAACTTTAGGATTAGAGTTAAACTGGGAGCATACTGGAATGTTGTGGATGCAGTTTGCTCACAGGAGGGATGAAAAAAAATGCTGAGAAGTTAGAGAGCAGCTGGTAGGCTGAATTGTGTTCTCCCTCCCAAATAAGTAGAACCCCTAACCGCCCAGGTCCTCAGAATATGAACTGAGTTAGAAATGGGGTATTTATAACGAAGTCATTAGAGAAGGCCCAGATCTAATATGTGCAATATCCTTACAAAAGGGGCTCTGTGGGCAAGAGGTGTGCACGCTGAGAAAAGTGCCCTGAGGATGAGCACAGGTCATCATGCTGGGCCTGCAAGCCAAGCGCAACCAAATATTGTCGGCAATCAGAGACTCAGCAGAGCTGAACAGTTCCTCAGGAAGCAGGAACACGGCTTGTCTTGCACAGCTAGCTTCGAGAACTCTGAGATACTCAATCTCCACTGCTCAAGCCATGCAGCTTGTGGTATTTTGTGATGGAGGCACAAGAATCCAACACTGATATTCCTAGTACCCACACACAGATGCAGGTACACATGGGTTCCACAGGCCATTAGAATCTTTATTTCTATGCCTCCTGCTAGTGAACACATATTAGTTTGAATATATAGCCAAGTGTATTGATACTTGTATCTACTCCCAAGCACTCAAGGGAACTGCTGCAGTTAGAGCATTTTTATGGGGCATGCAAAGACCATGATATATCTGATGGTGATTAGCACTATTGCTTATAAAAATACAAAACAATGGCAAGATCAATAGACATGCTAAATCACAGGGTCTTCCATCTAGATGGAGGACTACAGGCGACCAATGACCGCTGGGAGAGAGGAAATTAGTCTCTCCCAAGGGTGAACTCCTTTTTTGGTTACCCAATACAAAGTGGTCAGCGCTGAAACCATATATACACAAGAAACATGGAACCAGCAGGTTGCATTTACATATTTGTGCACACACATATGCATACAGTAATAATAATAAAAGTAAAGGAGGCTATCAGTTGGAGAGTGGGTGGGGTGGGAGGTGGTTGGAGGAGACCCGAGAGGGGCTGACGGGAGGAAAGGGAAAAGGGAAAGTGATGTAATTCTATT